TGCTCACTCCCCTCTCTTGCTTCAAGACATGGGACTGATGGGTCCCGATAAATTGATTGCTCGTCCTCCCCGTGGACCACGATCTCTTGATCCTCATGATCGAACTTTACCATCTGATGAAGAGTAGAGGGCACAGCCCCCGCTGCATGGATCCATGGCCTCCCCAAAAGAAAATTGTAGGTTATGTCCATGTCTAGAACCTGGAAGGTTACTTCAAAGTCTACTGGGCCGATGGTCAGAATTAGATCGATCTCTCCAATTGTGTCCCTTTTGATGCCATCGAAGGCACGTACACAGACATTGTTGGGTCGACTTCTTTCGGTCCCGATTTCCATACGCTGCAGAGTTGAGAGTGGGCAGATGTCCACCCTAGAGCCTCCGTCCACAGTAACCCTTTTCACGTAGTACCCTTCGCATTTGACTGTTAGGTGCAGGGCTTTATTATGTGCGGCCTCTTCTGGGGGCAAGTCATTTTTGCTGAAGGAGATCTGGTTAATTGCGAAAAATCTTTCTGCCATTCTCTCCAACTGCTCTACAGAAGTCTCGACAGGCACATATGCTTCGTTAAGGGTTTTGATCAATACCTTCTGATGTTCGGTGGAGCTCATCAACAGAGATAATAAGGAGACTTGTTCAGGAGATTTTCGAAGCTGGTCGATCACCTCATAATCCGCCATTTTCATCTTTTGAAAGAAGGCTTCCGCTTCTTCAGCACTCACGGGCTTCTTACAGGTGAAGCGCTTTCTAGTGGCGTTGTTCACCTCTTCCAAATTGGAGTACTTTTCAACAGGGTAATTTTCTTGAACTTCTCCTGAGATTTCTTTGCCCTTATAAGTCACCACTGATTTGTTGTAGTTCCAAGGCAACGCGGCAGGATCTATCATGGGCTTTTGTGGCGCGCGGCCAATAACCACGGGCTCACGCAGCCTTGGTGGATTAATTGCCCCCGCATCACTTAAGTTCCCTTGGGCACATACATTTGGGTTGTCCTATTCAGCTCGAATCTCCTGGTAGGACTCAAATTCATATGTTTTTCTTTGCGCCCTTGAGGGACATAGAGAACAACATCTTTGGGAGGCGTTGCCCCAGTTTCAACTTCAACTTTCTTCTCTGACTTTGTAAAGGGTGGTTTTGCTTCTTTTCTCCCCTTTGTCTTGCTTCGGGGTAGCTTTTGGGTTCTTTTTTATATCAGCGATGGCAATGATGGCCTTCAACGCTAGGTCAAATTCCTTATTCTCACAAATCATTCAGATTATCGGCTCGTTGTTGTGGGCTGGCAGTGGGTTATTGGTCACATTGGGGACATCATCATCCCTTAGCACTATCTTCCTCTGTTCTATCAAGTTCTCCACTGCTCTCTTCAAAGTCCAGCAATCATCCGTGTCGTGCCCTTCTGCCCCTGAATGATAGGCACATCGGGCACCAGCTCTGTAAGCGGGTGATGCTGGATTTTGCCTTGTTTGAGGAACTGGCTGTAGCAGACCCATTTGGACAAGCTTTGGAAACAGACTGGAGTATGATTCGCCGATTGGTGTAATATTTGGCCTTCTGGGTGGTTCACGAGGGGGAAAGTTGTTTTGTGGAGGACGGAGGTTTTAGTGGTTTTGGTGAGGAGGCTGGTTTCTAGGAAATGGAGCTTGGTTCCTGTTGGCTTGTTGCTGAGGCCGGACATAAGGTTTAGCATTCATGACCGCATATGGCTGAGAAGCATAGGCCATGTCCTGGTGGGGGTAATAGTGCTGCGGGGTTCTTTCTGGGAAAAAGGATCTGGGAGTGCAGTGTTTTCTTGCACCCGACGCTGCCATGGATGTTTCTTCCTTTTTCTTGCCCTTCGCTACTCCTCTAGACCCACCCTGAATGGCTTGGGAGGTAGCTCTGATAGCGAATTGGCTTAGAATTCGACCCGTCTTCAATCCGTTTTCAACCATTTCACCAATTTTGATGGCTTCAGCGAACGGTTTACCCATAGCAGACATCATATTTTGGAAGTAGTCGGCTTCCTGAGCTTGGAGGAACACTGTGACCATTTTGACCTCGTCCATTGGAGGCTTTACTCTAGATGCCTCACGCCATTTAACTGCGTACTCCTGGAAGCTCTCCGAGGATTTCTTTTTCAAGTTTGTCAATGAGTTTCTATCTGGAGCAATGTCGATATTGTACTGGAATTGCCTGACAAAGTCTCTAGCAAGGTCATCCCAGATGTGCCAGCGAGATATATCTTGATCCATGTACCACTCAGAGGCAATGCCAACCAGACTTTCTCCGAAATAGGCCATGAGTAGTTCTTCCCTTCCTCCGGCTCCTCGCAACTGATTGCAATATTTCTTGAGATGAGAAATAGGATCACCGTGCCCATCGTATTTTTCAAATTTTGGGGTTTTGAATCCCAATGGTAAGTGCACATGAGGGAACATGCATAAATCAGCATAGGACACACTTTTCTGCCCACTCAGACCTTGTATGTTTTTGAGGCTCTGCTCCATGCTCCTCATCCTCCTTGTAATCTCTTCCTGCTCGGGAGATTTGGTAGTCTTTTCTTGTCCCGCAATGAACTCAAATTGAGGCGGCTGAGGATAAGTATAAGTGGGAAACTGAGGAGGCTCCATTTGGAAGGTGGGTGCTTGGAATGTGAAAGCTGAAGGGTCAAAAGTGGGCCTAGGCAGTGTAGGCTGTGCCGTGGCCGAGCATGGGGGAGCGGTAAAGATATTTGAGGCTGCACCGGACATGAACACCTTGGGGTGAACCTCAGAAGGTGTTCCCACGAAATGAGCGGATATAGTTGGTTGTCCTAGTGGGGTGTTTGGGTGACTGATTGGAACATTGGAGGTACCCCCTGATCTAGGAAAAAGTTCGGGGAATCCCAGGATTGCACTTGGCGGCTCTCTTCCGTTTGCCCAAGCATGCCACATTTCCATAACCCGAAGACACAGGATCCTGTTCTCTTCAGCCGCTGCCGATTCTGAGGTCGGGATGCCCGAGATTGGGCTATCATCTGCGATGGGAATCATTTGCAGAGTCATTTCTGAAGACATTCCGATGCTCCCCTTTGATCTAGTAAAGTATGGATGTGACGCCAGGTTACCACGAAAACCAACCACCGTTCTATAAAAACCTGGACTGGATGTGACAGAAGCAAACGGTTAGTTTGTGACAAATAACAGATAGGTAATTGCATGTTGGGGTGTGATGCACCTATACAGTTAAATGGGTTTCTACATGTTTTGCAACGGTTGCATGCTTCATCCCGGCTTTTCTTTCCCATTTTTCTTCTTTCGATTTCCACTCTCTCCTTTTTTGCTTTTCCTTTCTTTTGCCCTTTTTCTCTTATTTTCTTTTCTTATTGGAGTTATTCACAAAATTATGACCGGATCCGATGAGGATTGCCTACGTATCACGACGCCGCGTGAATCAGATCATTGCGTAGTTCAAGAAAAAATAAATGCGAAAAGTAAGGAAATAATATTTTGGGAATTTTTGATTTTTCATTAATAAAACTTTTATTACAAAAGATGTTAAACTACTCACTTTCTTGGAAAGAAGAAAAACTATAAAAAGACTCAAAATAAACCAAAATACAGACTCGATGCTTGAAAAATCAGGAATACATTAAAGCTTCAACTACTGGGGCCCGCGGGGCATCATTCGGCCTCGCCGTGGGCCTATGTGCGAGACCCCCTTGTAGTCGCTCCAAATCACTCATAACTTGGCAGACGAAAGTCATCACTGTAGCAAAAAAGGTGGTACGAGTCATGTCCTCGCACGCTTGGCACTTCACGGTAATGTAGTCAACCATGGTTCTGATCTTTTCTCTAATTCTGCCTTTTTCCTGAAGCAACCACCCTATCTGCTGGTTCCGGGCTTCTAACACTTGAGAGTCATGAAGGTGCTGATTTTGCAATTTCTGTATTTCTTCCTCCATTTGAGCCATCAGAGCATAACAGTGCTCCCTATCGGCTTTGAAATCTTTAGCCTGCTTGACTGCCTCATTCTCAAAAGTAGTTACCTTTCTTCTTAGACTAGTGATGGTCCCTTCATAGTTTCTCTTCATTTGCTGCACAAATCATGCCCGTTCTTGTGCTTTCTTTGTCCATTGTGCCCGGATTTTTGCTAGACTATCTTCACACTTTTCCAGGTCTTCTTGGCATCCGAGGACTTTCTTTTTTAGACCACTTATAAGTCTTTCATCAACCCGACTTCTTTCCGGGTTATTGGCAGCTATTTTCATCTTTCTGATCTGAGCTTTAAGGGCCTCATTTTCCTGGGTCAGTTTCTTCTTTTCTCCTTTGTCTGCAGCGGCTTGAACACCATTTTCAAATTGAAGCTCCATGACTTGCCTTTCCAACTGGCTTATTTTGGCCCTGTACTCATTCTCCTTAGTCAACCAATCCCATTGTACTCGGGCCCCATCGGTGAACTGTTGGACATGTGGTCTCTTTGCGGGTCTTTCAGGAATCTGGAATCTTTTGCCAAACCAAACCATGTACTTAGGGTCCACTTCCCCTCTAGCTCGATCTCGCACTATGGTCTTAGGTTCAAGAAACCTACATTCATTCCACACTTGGCGAATTTTTCCTTCTGGAAATGCGACTTTTGGGCCCAGTTCAATGACATGTTTACTCAGATCTTCATCATTGGGGACGGTTTGAAATATTCCTAATTGGCGCAAAACCCTGTAGGGAGCATAAGGCTGGATGCTCCGGATGCCCATCAAGAGGATATAACACACTTCAGCTGATGTGTACACTGCTTCGGTAACAGGAAGCCATCTGAATGCCCACTCAGTTTTATCGGCAGTCAAGGATCTCAAATTTCAATACCCACTACTCGGCTTTCAAATTCTTCAATGCAACTTAAACCGGTCATACCATAATTCATATATCCAACCCGGTGGCAGAGATGTTCCTGCATCCATAATTGTAATAACAGATTGCAGCCTTGGAAGAACTTTCCCCCTTCCCGACAGATAGTCAAGGCTCGGTAGATTTCAGATAAGATCA